AACGGTCAATACTCAATAAATACATGTTGTTGTGAGTAGTGAGTACATTTAACACCAAAACACAAAAAAGAAATAATAATAATAATAATAATAAAATTGCATCCAATCCATATACATAATCCATGGATAATTCAAACAAGTCTTGTCCTGAAATTAGATTTGTGGAGTTAAGAGAAAATTCATTTCTAATCTATTTTAGAATTAAATATAGCAAAATAAATTTCAACTAAGGGCAACTTATCTGATGGATCCATTTGATGCCCTAATTTGGATGCTTGATATATAAAATATGGAAAATGATATTTCAACCGAACTATATGACTGATTAATTTGGCAGAATTTACGTGGACATCAAATAGCCCATTTCCATCTCTTTCTCTCTCCTTTTTTTCTTTTTCTCATTCTATTTCTCACTCTAATATCTCACTCACCGGAAAAGAGGCAAGAAATGGGTCGATCTGGTTCGTCGGCGCCGAAGACTACTTCCCTCTCTTTCTCTCTCCTTTCTTTCTTTTTCTCATTATATTTCTCTCTCTAATATATATATATATATATATATGATATATGATATGAAGTTGCAACCATACTTTAAAATTCAAAGGTTATTTCTTTTTTCAAATTAATATGATAAGAAATATTATTTGAAGAGACTAAACGAAGATGGAAAGATTTGATAACTATTAGAAGAGAAGAACTTATCCTAAAACTTGACAGAGAAAATTGAATCTATTGACCAATATATTGTTTCTCCTTTTATTTTATTTATATAAATATATTTTTTAATTATTAAAATTACTTACCTAAATTAGCATCTATATTCTGCCAAGCTAATTTGTCAAAATCATCTACCTACCTATCACGACCCCTAAAATATTCTGGTATTATTATATTCCAAATGCAAAGAAGAAAAGTGACAACAAACAGGAGTCATGGTTATAGTGGGCCAATGTCTCACATGTATGTCACGTGCACTGATAATGTGTACAATACTGGTATCAATTTAACAATATAGTAATAAATAGGAGGACCACTTAATTAAGAATGCATGGTTCACTGAAAAGAAATGCATGCATGTGGTGTAGCTCGCACATCCATGCATGGAGTTTTGTGGATAGCCTTTGTTTTTAACCCGTTAATGAATTCAATATTAAATTCTTTTATACACTTCATCACTCACTGCTCAACTGTACGTCCATTTGGGATTGGGGTGGTGCACGTGTTCCTGGTTATTAAGAAGGGTATATACGGTCCAATTTGAATTGAATTGAAATTTTTTTTGAAATTAAATTATTTATAACGGTTATATTATTTTTTTAAACCTGATCGAATCATAATGCTTATGAAATGAAAACAAACCAGATAGTAAAAAACCGGTTTGATTCGATTCGATTTGTCGGTTTAATTTTATTTCCATTTTATTTTATTTTTAAAAAACAAAATCTCTTATTTTTTTCAGGAAAAAAATATAACATTCCTTGTTTACCATTTATTGGGAAAAGAAAAAAAAAAAAACTCAAAATTTCAAAAAACAAAAAAGATCAAGTATGAAATTGCTAATGTTTAAAGTCCCCAACTATCATAATTATTTCTTGTCATGGTTAAAAGTATATATATTTAGTTCACTAATCACTATGAAGTTGAAAAGAATATATATATATATATATATATATATATATATATATATAACGGTTTGGTCCGGGTCGAGTCGGTCTAGCAGGACTCCAAATCAGGACCGAACCGAAAAATTACGGTTTCATAATTTTGGGCTTAGGACCGGACCAAACCGCTATACAATTAGCCCAAACCGCCCAGTTCAGTCCGGTCCAAACCGATTTGATCCGATTTTTCAATTTATTGGATTTTTTGAACACCTCTAGCTATAGAGTATACTCTAAGAAATTCGGCACCGGTTGAAATATATATATATATTTGAATAGAATGGTTTAAATAGAAATTTATTTGTTATAAAAAATATATAAAAAGTGATTTAGATCTTCCAAGTGTAATATGTTTTGAGTGTTAAGGAGCCCTTCCTACGTCCTACCTATTTCCATTGGTTTTAAAATGAAAAACTTAACTGAAGAAATAGTGCGTAAAAAAAAAAATAGCACAATTTTAGAAAAGAAAAGAAAAGAAAAGAAAAGCAAAACAATTACAAATAACAACATTGAATATTTATGTCGACGACTCGACTAAACCATGCAGTTCAGTAGTTGTTAGTGGAGGCGACATTCTCTTTATTTATATTTTGTAGCTAAAATTTATATTAAAATTCTAATAATGCTTCTACTAAATTTTTGATAAAACATCCTATACCCTCACTAAAATTTTCTTTATTTGTATAACAGACCTTAATTTGTTTATAATATGTTGCCTTTATAATAATGGAAATGGAAGTATTTACATAAAAAATAATTAAAATGGAAGTATGAACAAATTTTAATTCAAATATCAATTTATGAAGAAAAAAAAATAATTTATTTATTTTTTCTTATTGTTCCAAGGGTGCTCTCTCTCAAATTCTTTATTTTTATTTATTTATTCTTCTGGATCCAAATTAGGGTATATACAGTGAGGTCAATTCAAAACCAGCTACCATGTAACTTCTTAGACCCGTGGTTGTGCGTTAGACGCCATGGATGATTGGATTTGGATGGCAACTTGAACCAACAAAGACATTTTCACTGTGCTTTGCCAATTCCATTGTTACAGAGATGATATAATTTTATTATTTATATTTTCTAACACGTCCTCCTCTCTCACGCGAGAGTACACTTAATCATAAATAAACTAATAAATATATCAATTGTAATTTTTTGTATAACAATGAGTCAATGAGATTTAAATTCATATTTTTACGTCAGAAATAATAGACTTGCTGTGCATTTAGTGCCGCATAAATTAACTAATATATATATATATATATATATAGACATTATGTTATTAATTGAAAATGAATGGTAATCAAATCCAATCCAGCCAACATGATTTTTACAATTAATGAGAGACTTCACGATCACCTTGGGACCTCAATACACTTGCGTAAATGGCTTTAGTTTTAGTTTGGTCCATGCTTGGCACATCCTTGAAAAAAACAGACTTCCTACGTGTCTGAATTTTGTCGACTCTTACACAATAACCAATAAAATAAAATATCTCTTATTAAAATATTTAATTCAACGATCAATTATAAAAACCGATGAGGACTTTCAACATTTTTCTCCCAACTTGAAATACGTAAGCTAAAGGGGTTCATTTATTCATGCATTACTCTCTCTCTCTCTCACACACACAGTGACACACACACACACAGAGAACCGTGTGGTTTGGAGTAGTCCAAATGTGACCATCAAAAGTTCAAAACCATGGGCATATCCTGGGCCATGGTTGGTTTGGGTTGCAGCTACAAAGGTGATATATATATATATATATATATATATATATATATATATATGTGGAATGGAACAAGACGGATAAACTTAAATGGATAACCCCACCTTGCCATATCAGACCTTGACCTACTGCAAATTCATAACTTCAATTCTTTTTTTCTTCAACTAAAATAAAAGGGCTCATATCGATCTTATGATATGTTATAACTTCGATCGAATAAAAGAGAATGAAAATGGTTGTGTGCAAAATTGCAAGTTATACTAGCAATTCATAAGTTGACTCATCAATTATTTATTATTATTATTATTATTATTATTATTTGGCTCACGTTGCTCTAGCAAATCTTACCACATTAATCGATGAACTCTTCTTGTAAACAAATTTCCTATTACCAAAGAGTATGCTACTTATTGTTGCGAATTAAACAAAAAAATAATAAAGAGATCAAATATACACACAATAAGAGCACACATAATAGGGTTACGTAATAATAAAAAATACCAACGAATACGGAGAGTTTAGAATTAATATATATCCTCGCATTAGGGTAACATAAAAAGTGCAAAAATTATATAAAAAAATTAAGTTGGATCCACAAAATTGGACCTTGATATATAATCTATCAAGTTCCACGCTATACATCACTCACACAGTCATGTCTAGGAAGGTCAACTTAGCTGGTCTCAATCTTGCCCCACCATAATGGATGAGTTTGGATAAATCTTTTTTGAGTTATGAGCGGATTTGGGTAGAGTATCAAGAATCTAAACCAACTTCGATTATTAATAAAAATTATATAAAGAGATGTTTTAACATTAATTATAGCATTTTTCTTTCATTATTTTTATCAATTCGAAATTTAAGAAAATCTATGATAATTGTAATTGTTTTGTATTTTTTGTGTTTGGATTTTTCTAAAAAAAACTTATAATAAATTCATTCAAATTTTTATTTTTATTTTTATTTTATTTTATTTTTTTCCGATTTGGGGCCGGGCACAACATTTCAGGGTTCAGGAATTAAATTTTCGTTTTGGGCATGCTCGAAATATGATTAACGCCACGTAACTTAAATAATGCATTTCACTCCAATTTTTTTTTTATAATACACTCCAATTTTTGTTTTATTCTTAAATAAAATGACAAAAATGTTGCTAGAAACATTAATGGTTGATTATCTTATAAATTGAGATGAAAAGTTCATTTAAAGTGATTGTATTTGTGAGTGTCGCTTCTTAAAAAAGAATTCTTGATTATGAAATGTGTCTATTATAATTAATTTTATTACGCATCATTTAGTTGAGGAAGTATTTAATTATAACAATTAACAGTTCATTGTCGCCATAAATGATGATGGGTATTTGAAATTAGGTCAAAATGAAGCACTAAATAAAACATGATTTTCTGTGAGATTTACCAGAAATTAAGGGACTTAACTATAACAAAGGTTGAGGAATATTGGGGAAAAAGATGAAAGTGAAGGGCATTTCATTTTCCAAGCAAGGAAAAGAAGAAAATTGAGGGCATTATCGTCATTTCAAATGAAGCATTGGCGTAAGGGCATCACAGGCGTGAGACTGAAGTTGATTCGGAGTTCGGACCCCTTCAGTTTCGGGACCAGAACAAACAATCGAAGGAGAAAAAAAGCTCTGCTTTAGCTTTGACCATTCCTCTCTCTCTCTCTAACACACACACACTATCTCTCTCTCTCTCTTGTCCAGAAGCGGAGACCCAGTAAATTTTTATTATCAAGCATCTCTTTCGCATCTCTCTCTCTCCACAGGTATCAGGAGGAGGCTATGTGAGGTGATCCTTTTCAACAGTGCTCTTTTTCACTCTAAAAAGCATAGCTTGAAGCTGGGTTCAGAATATTTGAGATTTAGGTACTATTTTTTGACTCTCTCTCTATCCCCTTTCTTCTAATTGTTGATGGGTTTGTGTCTTTGTAAGTTCTAGTCTTGCCTTTAGCATCTTGGTCTTTCTCTGTTTTTGATCTCTGTTAGGGTTTGACTGGAAGCTGTAATTCTGTCTTGAATACCTGATTGTTGTAGAATTGACTCTTAATCATGTTTGTGTGGTTTCTTCCGGCAGATTGATCTATATTGTGATTGTAGAAAGCTATAATGAAACTGCATTTGGTGAGGACCTGACCTAATTGATTATATCTTTTGCCTTTTTGGTGGTCCTTGAATCCTTTATATGTGTTCTGAAGTCTTCTTTTTTTATTTTGTCAATTGATTTTTGTTTTTCTAATCCCTTTTCTGTGTGAAAAGTTTAGATTTTGAGATGCATGATTGACTGTTTATCATCTACTACTTACTCATTCCATTTTTTGGGGGCTCTGTTGGTTATTTTCACGAGTAATATTGGATCAGAGTCTGCTTGTAGTTATTTGCTTGAATCCGCTTCATTTTGTTGAGATGTGTTCTTCTAATTTCTAATTGGGTTTTTGGTCTTATTGTTGTTTGGTAATAGAAGTTAACATTTTGATGTACCTTGGAGGTTGTTCAAATATTCCTCTGACTACAGACTACTGACCTTTACTTGTGTTTTTCCTCTACTAAAGGTCTTATGTGATTTATGCGGTGTGTGGTGCATCCTGCATCTGGGTGTATGATCCATTGTTTCCCTCATGTTATTTTGAGTTAGTTGTGCCATGAAGCCCCAAGATTGCTTAAATTTATACTCGGATTTGTAATTTCCATTTCTTTGTTTAGAATTACAAAGTTTTATCCAATCACTATCTCCTTCTTAACAAATAAAATGTTCCCGGTATATATAATGTTTTAACATCTCTCTTTGACATGGTGGCTCATTCTGAAGTAGTATTTTGGGTTTTTGGTGATCATTCGATTAATTGACTGTTGCTGTTGCAGAGGTAGAGGAGATTATATGCTGCATTGTTGATGGATGCAATATGGTTAAGAGAATGGGAGCTGAGCAATGGATTTTTTTAATCTGTTCTGTATGAATTGTCTTTGTTTCCTCTGATGGCCTCAAAAACTGTTGCCAGGCCTTCCCCAGAACAGCGGCAAAAAGGTGTTAGTGACTGTCGAATAGTAGAGGCAGATAGTCAGGGGCCTTTGCCTTCACTGGTCTCAAAGACAGGCAAACCCAAGCTGGTTGCTCCTGAACAACTAATAGAATCTGGACATATTACAACAAAGCAGGTCACTGTAGAAGCCTTGGGTAGTAAAAGATCGCCAAATTCTAATAAGAAAGGGCCTATCGATTCATTAACTAGTAAATTTGATCCAAATATTTCATCACCTGGTGTTGAACAAGTGTCAACAGTAGTAAGTACTGCAATAAATGACACTAGAAGCTCGTTGGAAGTATCTGTTGATCAAGAAAAAAAAACATCTGGGACCCATGGAAGCGTGAAGAATAGTTCTGTTTCTGCCAAAGTTAGTGATGGGACCAGTAGTCTTCCAAAAACCAGTGGAAGTGCCAAGATTAGTGATCGTGCTGATTTTGTTGAGAGTGGGAAGAGCAGCTTGTATAGAGGCAGCACAAGCAGTGATGTGAGTGATGAGAGCAGTTGTAGCAGCTTTAGTAGCACTATTAATAAGCCCCATAAAGCAAATGATTTGGGATGGGAAGCCATCCAAGCTGTACGAGCAAGAGATGGGGTCTTGGGTTTGAGCCATTTTAGACTGCTGAAGAGATTGGGCTGTGGTGATATTGGGAGCGTCTACTTGGCAGAGTTGAACGGAACGAAGTGTTATTTTGCAATGAAAGTTATGGACAAAGCGGCTCTAGCAAGTCGTAAGAAGCTTCTTCGAGCTCAGACAGAGAGAGAGATACTGCAGTCTCTGGACCACCCGTTCCTTCCAACTCTATACACCCACTTCGAGACGGAAAAATTTTCGTGTTTGGTGATGGAGTTCTGCCCAGGAGGAGACTTGCACACTCTTAGGCAGAGGCAGCCAGGGAAACATTTTTCTGAGCAGGCAGTAAAGTATGATTTCTTCTAACCATGTCCTGATATGCAGTAAATTTTGAAATTGAATCTTGTTTTCTGTCATAGCTTCCGTTCATTTTCCCCTCATTATGCATTATCATTTTGTATATTTCTTGTACGATATGTTGTTTCAGAACTTGTATACCTAGTTACAGAAATATCAAAAATTTCCAGCTCATCTCCTTCTGCAAGGGAGTACCAGAACCATCCAATTCCCATGCATTTTGAGAATTTTGTTTACATGGCAACACATTTTTAACGTGTCCAACACTCCAGGTTGAAATTGAAGAGAAGTTTAAGAATTTGCCTTAAGTTATTGGATTATGCTATTTAAAATGGTAGTTTTCTCTTGCATAGTCCTGCCAAAATAGTACTAGAATGGGTAGTTGATATATCATGGTCCATAAATTTTATTCATGTCCAACTGGAGGTTTTACATCATTTTTATTAGTAAATAACAGAAATTTATTAAGACTAAAAGAAATACAATGGAAGTGCTAACCACAATATCCTGGAAGGGAGAAAGTAGAGATTAGACACTTCCAACAAAATTCCTGTATTATCTTTTGCTACACACCTAAAGTTACATAATAAGTGTTCTATCCCTAGTCGAGTTGTTGTCAACTCGACTTTAGCCATCAGCAGGTTAGATGATGAGTTATTTACATAGCTCACGTATATCTTCGACACATTTGTGTCCAGAAAAATGCTGCGAGCATCTGTCTCTATCAATCATGCCAAATACGCCTTATCAATCTAAACATTTCAAAAATCCTTCGATTTCTGCCCATTTGGACAATAATAGTTAAGAGCTAGAATAACCAAATGACCTCCCCTTAGTTTTGTATTCAACCTGTTGACAATCTGATCTCACTCCAGCATAACAAACCAAGCCACTATTAGTAGATTTGTAGCCACCTTTCCTTTTGTAAGAGTACAACTATAAAGAACAAATGGTCCTGAGACGCAGCTTGCCTTCTATGAACGAACACATTTCCTGATCCAAAATGCCTAACAATTCATTGATCTTGTGTAGTCAATCTAGTCTTGATAACCAACCATGCTACTTAAGTTCATAGCAGATAAACTCGTTATACTGGAGTCACAACGTCTTTAAGAGCATCACAGGTGCTATGCACACTAACCATCTCTGATGGAAACACCACCGGGAACTTCAATTTCTTTGTGGAAATTTTGATGGAGTTTACAATTTTTGTTTTTTTAATTTAAAGTTTAAAACCAGATAATATATATGCACTAGTTTGTAGAGTACACTTTGATGTTTTATTTATTTATTTTTTCTTGAAATGGGATTGAGATCCTACCAAATTCTTGTCTAGAGGTAACCAATAAATAGACGTCAAGCTTTTCGTAAAGTTAGATTTCCCTCTATCGCAATACTTATATTGAATATTGTAGTTGGCTATGACTAAGTTTATAAGTTTGTCGTTGATATGTAAATTTGAATGAGAAATGACTGCCTTTTTCTTTCTTTGCAAGTTTTTAGAAAAAGTCATGGAAAAGTTCTTAGATCTGCTTGGCCGTAAGTTGATATAGGAATTAAGGATTGGATTTAGGAGACTAACATAGTGATAAATTTCATGATTCTGTTGGCTCTTGCTATATAGATTTATGTATGAAATATGGAATGGGTCATTGATATGAATAGTGACAAAAAATAATGCATTGTCAGACGAACTACACTTTCTTTGCTTATGCACTTCCTACTCTTATGCGCGCGCTTGTGTTTTGAAATGTTACATGCCTGCTGGTATTGTCTGAGATACTGTTCTACAAATCAAAATGGTTTTAACATCAGTTTTTATTATTGGATTGGAAAGAAATGGAAGCATAAAATTGAATAGTTTTTTTACATTAAATAATGAACCTTATTTGGTGTTGCTATATTGTGCTGCTAAATCTCCATTAGTGTTTTATTATAGCATAGCAGAATAATACCCATCGGTACAGCAATGTTAGAAGTTGTCATCTTCAGCAAGAATTGTCTAATTGTATTCATGGAAACACCCAAATTTTTTAGACACCTGTATCATTTATGTACACAGAGTTAATTATGGTAGAAATTAAAACATCTTGGCGGTTTTGTTTTAAATTATGTCACTTTATCCACAACATTTTACAAGGTAATGTATCTTCAACAGTCAGTAGACTTCCGAAGCAGTGGTTGTCTTTCTGAGATTGGATTAGACTCCTGGTCAAAATGCAAATAAGAATGTTTTCTGAAGTTTATAGATATTGAGGTCTGGTGCAACAATGACCCAGTATTAGTCACTCTGGATGCTAAACATGTACTTATTTATCTTGAGCACCTATTAGATAAAATTAGTGAGGGATTAATTGTTCTTTCTCATTGTCGTGCAGATTTTATGTATCAGAGGTCCTCCTAGCTCTGGAATATCTCCACATGCTTGGGATCGTTTATCGTGACCTTAAGCCAGAAAATGTCCTTGTGAGGGAAGATGGACACATAATGCTCTCCGACTTCGACCTTTCCCTTCGGTGTGTGGTTAGCCCGACTCTGGTGAAGACATCATCTCTTGAGTCAGAACCTCTTCGAAAGAACCCAGTTTATTGTGTCCAACCTGCTTGCATTGAACCTTCCTGCATTCAGCCGTCCTGTGTAGTACCCACAACTTGCTTCTCTCCCCGTTTCTTCTCTAGCAAGTCCAAGAAGGAGAGGAAGCCAAAAAACGAAGTCGGGAACCAAGTTAGCCCATTACCTGAGCTCATGGCTGAGCCAACCAGCGCTCGGTCTATGTCATTTGTTGGGACCCATGAGTACTTGGCACCTGAAATTATCAAAGGTGAAGGACATGGGAGCGCTGTGGATTGGTGGACTTTTGGGATTTTCCTATATGAACTATTATTTGGTAAAACTCCATTTAAGGGATCTGGTAATCGAGCCACATTGTTCAATGTTGTTGGGCAGCCTCTTCGATTTCCCGAGTCTCCTGTTGTCAGTTTTTCTTCTAGGGATCTGATAAGGGGGTTGCTTGTAAAAGAACCACAGCACAGATTGGCATATAAAAGAGGGGCAACTGAGATTAAGCAACACGCTTTTTTTGAAGGCGTGAATTGGGCATTGATACGCTGTGCTACCCCTCCAGAGATTCCCAAGCCCGTTGAGTTTGACAGAATACCAGCACCAGTGGCATCAACAAGTGAAAAGACTGCTGTTGCTGCAGCTGCTCCTGATCAAAAGAATGCCGATAATTACCTGGAGTTTGATTTCTTCTAGTTATTACTAGTACTTGACTGCAAGTTGTTTTTATTAAAGGAAACAATTATTCTGGATGTTCAGGGATTGTTAGTGGTGAGGATGGAGTGTTCTTATTGATGGATGATGAGAACAGTATGTTGTTACTGCCTGTAAAAGTTTCAGATCTTTATTGCATAATTATTGCTTAAACTTCAATCATTTCAGGGTTACCTACTCTTGCATTTCAAATCCTGGTCAAGCTCTGCTTCGACTATACTGTGTGAGGCGGCCTTGTGTGTGGCAGAAACACGGTTCTTGAAGCACTTAAAATGGGGTGCATGGGAAACTGGAGTGAGGAGGAGCAGTTGGTGGATGTCGAACTAGATCGGCCAATAATTCGACTTGGTTGTACATTTTACCAGAGCAGTATGTGCTATATTTGTAGCTGTATTCTTTGTGTTCTTGTTATTTTTGGTTGCACGCAAGAACAACAAAAGATTGAAACTTCTGGAGACATGCTTGTTACCTAATTCTATATTGAATTCCTAACCACTCTATTTTAAGGTCAGCTGGGTAACCCTTGTTATGCTGGGTAACTTGAAGGTTGTCTTGAGTCGAGAAATTATTACATAGTCCAGTCCACGTGGTCTCAATCAATAACAGGTTCCTACGTAGTACTAATTTTTAGCACCTAGTTAGCTGTCTGATGTTTATTCCTACTGCATACATGTGGTGTATGATTTTAATAAATCACAGTCTTTGTACGTGTTATAAGCATGTAAGGTGACATGAATGTATCAGAAGTAGGTGCCAAATCTGAGTGACAGGCAGTTTTCTAGTTCTATTATTATTAGAACACATTTATTGTGACAGATAAATTTAAAACATAGATTTCAGAATAGAATTAAAAATAAATAAAAAGCTGTACTTCAAATCGTATTGGACAGAATTTAGTTCTATGATTATTGACACATTTATTTAAAAAACAGAAATATAGAAGAAAAGCATCCGAATTTTCAGGAAAAAGGGAAAAAGAAATGGAGTGCGGTGAACGTGGATCGAACACGTGACCTTCAGATCTTCAGTCTGACGCTCTCCCAACTGAGCTATCCCCGCAAGTGTTTACTCACTTAACAACTTTGCTTTTAAAACAATAACATATAAAGGAATCGTTGGTCCCAATCTCGTGCTCCACTGATGTAGATTTGGGACTACCATCATTGCCACGTGGAGAAGGTGAATCAGTCAACTGGTCAACCACTTCCTTTCCTTCGCAGATTATCTTTATCTCACAATATTCCGGTGCATTTTGAAGTACCTGATCAGCTATCCCACTCCCTCGCTTAGTCCTCAATTTCCTACAGACCACCCCCCAAAAAAAAAAATAAAAAAAAAAAATTTTAATTTTGGGTGCATGCACTTGGTAGCTTTTTTTTATATGGAACTTAATAATTTGGCAAAATTGGGACCAAAATTGCACAATGTAGTGGAGTGGAGGGTTGAACCTACCTAAGATTGGATTTGTTGGTGCCCACAATCAGCTTTCTTATATTGAGGATGGGAATGAGGTCCTGAATTGCCTTTGCCTCCATATCACTCTCAATAAGTATTGTGTCCACTTTTACCTGTTTTTTTTTTGTTATTCATCAACTTAATTTCAAATAATTGATTCCAATGTAAATTAATGATACATTAAATAATCAGGCACATGAGATGTTATGGTATATCCAAGAGAGACTAATATATATATATATATATATATAGTACCTTGTAAGCAAAACACTTATCAAGGAACTTCTGGAGGAATTCTCTTCTCTTGCTTGTTTCTTGGTTCATATAGTTCTCCTTCTGCTCCGGGTTCACCTGACTTATTGGAAGCTTTCCTACTATCATCTCCAATATACACACACATGGTTAATTAATTAGTTTTTTCTGATGCAGTTGAGACCTTTGAAATGTATACATTACATTATATATGTCTGTGTATATATATATATATATATTATATGATTGTACATAGAGTACCAAACTGCACCATAAATCACCTAGTTTTAAGGTGAAACAATAAATTTTGTTTTATTTTATTTTATTTAAAATTTAGCTCATTTCAATCTTTTACGAACAATTAAAAAAGACTTGCTGCTAAAAGGAAAATAAATTCAAAATAATAAGCATAACAAGTAAGGGAATGGATCCCCTCTAAGAAAATTTATCTCTTAACATCTATAAATATTTAATCATATGCTATTAAGGTACTCGTTTGACTAAAAATGAATTACGTTAGCCTTCTCTCTTTGGATTTCCCTCATTATCATCTCTATTGGCTACAATTGAAGATTTGGAAGATTTTACATATTTTTTTGAGTTAAGAAAGTATTTTAAGATCTCAGTACAAATAACTCAAAGGTCATTTGGATCTCCTTTATCTTTCAAAATTTTATCCCACTGCAACATCTAGATTAGTTAAATCATATAAATATATTCTTATTCACAAATTTGGAAGATTTCACATATTTTTTTGAGTTAAGAAAGTATTTTAAGATCTCAGTAAAAATAACTCAAAGGTCATTTAGATCGCTTCTATCTTTCAAAATTTTATCCCACTGCAATATTTAGATTAGTTAAATCATATATATATATATATATATTCTTAATCACAAATTCTAACAAAAAAAAAAAAATTATACCCAAATTTACAGATTTTTACACAAATCCTTAAATTATTTGGATGAGAGAGAACATTAAGGTACATTTTTAGTCAAACATATCTATTAATTAATTAATTAAATTATTAATGTGACGCCTTAACAATCATGTGATTAAATACTCGTAGATATTTGGAGACAAATTTCTTTAAGGAGGATCCATTCCCAACGTGGGATGTAATTAGTTAACTTCTGATGAGGACCATAGGTGGGATCCATCAAATTAACTTATTTGTTTGGCACCCAGACTAAACCTAACCTAATTAGTTGGGATTAGTATTAGTACTCCTAATACTTGTTTAGCCTAGTTAGGCTCTAACCCTAGCAATTATAGTAGGGTTTCATTGGGCCTACCGCAGGACTCAATGTGCAGCCAGATTCGTGATTAATTTTCAAGTATGGACAAAACTAAATTAAATGTTGTGGTTATATATGATTTATGAAGCACCCCAGCGTCTTTTTCAACCTATGTTATATTATATATAAAACCGAAACATGAACTAGAGAATCAGACAACTCATAAATCATAATATAGTCATATGGTCGGCGGTTTCCCATCTTACAAACTAGTAAATGAAAGAAAAATATTAAACAAATATATTTAATTTGACAATTCTTATAGAGATTATACCTACAAAATTATTTACCCACAAGTTTATTTATATAAAAAGCTCATTACATATGGTTTCTCATGCCAATAAAAACTTCTATTAATTAATTAGTACTCTCGGTTTTTGAGCTAAAACCAATGACCTTTGATCAAGCAAATCAAAGTCTCTCTCAAAAGTCTTGTTTTTGTCCCGGCAAAAAGCCAACCGGTGGTTAAGACTTAAGTTCCACCCGTCCCATATTTTCAGGACGGTTGTTTTGACCCGCAACTCACCTCACCTACCATGTGTGTGTTTGTGTGAGAGAGAGAGAGAGAGAGAGAGAGAGAGAGAGAGGTCTTACATGGTGTAGGGATGTAGTGTATCTCAGGGAAGACATGAATGAGAAAAACAAGCGTTGATGGATTGAACACAGCATGGTTGAGAGTCCACTCGAGCGCGTCCATGCTAGAGAGCTCATCACTACTCTTCTCCAGCACTGCGACATAAACAACATCATCATGATCTCTGTTTTGGAAATCGTACGAAAACAAACTACCCTCAACTTCTTCTTTAATGGACTCCATAGGCACACCACTGTTGATCTCAAACATGTCACTCGAGCACTCTTCTTCTATCTCACTTACACCACTTCTAAAGTCGCTCAAATACTTCTCATCAAACCCGCCACTATTGCTCTGCCCTTCTCCGCCGGCTTGCATATCGCCGGTCTCTGTCAACGCCACCGACATTTTTTGGACAAAAATGACAACAAAGAATTGACTGAAACAATTCTTGTAAGCTTGTTTGGGTTTGAAGTTTATTTATTCTTCAACCTTTAAACAGACTTCGAGATCTGGTATCTTACTCGACGAGGAAACGATGAATTGAATTGAATGAAGCTATGGTATAGTCACTGCAGCTTTGTGGTTTGAGAATTACTAGAAAATTTGAAGAGGAGAGAGTCCACAAACGTTATATATAATGACTTTTTTTCCATTTAGCGTGCAGTTCTTTCCCTGCAGTTTGTTCAAGTTATGCATACTCTAGTTGTACGTTGAAATTTTAATTGCCCTTGACTTTTGTTAAAAGGCGAAGATATCCCTATTGTACAACCCCAATACGAAAGAGATTGGAAATTTCTTCTCCCCTTCAAAAATGGCCAACGATCTAGAAAGGGGGTTGGGAATTTCTTCTACTTTGACTTTTCTTGATAGGTCCCAACCCTATACAAAATGATATAACATCTTTATTTCATATGACTAATTAGTCCCTATCTCTTACGAATTATTAATTAAAACTTCATAATCAATCAATTTTTTTCTCCCGCAGCTCACGTTACCAAGTTGAAAGCTACTATCATACACGTGCGCGCGTGTGTGTATGTATATATGAATATATACGTCTATTTTTGTAAGTATATTAATGGTTGAAAAGATTGCTAGTATAACTTTACAAGTTTAAATACATCGACTTGTAATTTACTAATATATATTTTTTTCAAAATAATTATTCGAGGAGACCATATTACATTCACATCCATATTCCATACATCAACAAGTGCATTTATGTGCTTTGTTTTATAATATATGTGCAATTCAAATGGGAATATCCGGATACGTACGGGAATCATGGCCATAAGGGAAGTAGTCCAAGGTCAATGTTTATGTACATGTATTATGTATATGTAGTTGTAAAATTCAGGATACACAATTTACACCACATTTTGGTAATTTCGTATTCACACATTATATTTTTACTAGTAAAGAATAACATCATGATGATATTATCTCTATTCACCTAACTCAGTCGAATACATTCCACTTTCAAACTTTTTATCGTGGTTATACTTTTATTTTATTATTGTTTCATTTACTTTCAAGTGAAAAACAAGGGGTTTTTTTTTTTTTTTTTCAAGTGGAATACGATCAGATGAATTTTTGGTTCTCCTTCTTCAGATGGAAAATAGGGTGATATTCCTCATGATTTCAATATCAAAATCCTGCATAGATCTTATTTCTTCGAAGTGATAATACACATGTCAATTGCAATCCTGTTATTTATTTTCCTTCCTTGAATCCAATTAAAAACAGGACATTGATTCTTAATGGTGTCATCTGGTTTTTCATTTCTTTCCTGAGAACCATAAAAAATTACAAATTACACAATTTGTGTTAATCTATTTACCAGGAAGATGGAAGTTTCAACCTCATTTCAGTTCTTGTTACAACCATGAAAGCACATTTTTGAGAAATATAGGTTATCTCTGTCCCCATATTGAACATCCCATCTCAGTTCCATGCCAGGTTTTAGTTTTGAACCCCACAAACTGCAAGAGTACTCACATCCCTGTCTCTGCTTTCTCTTGTTCTTTTTGTCGCCATTTCCGGAGTTCGCTCTCCACTACCCTTTTTGCGGCATCAGCCATCTCTGCCTTCTTCAATGCATCCCCAGTTGCAGCCTTTATATCCTCAATCTCTTGCATACTTGCCTCCAACCTCTCCACCGCTTCTTTTTCGCGCTCATTGATTGCTTTCACCTCCGCCAAGGCAGCAGCCTCTTCCTTCTCAGCCATATTCCCAGCTTGCTCAGCTTTCTTGCTCAAAGATTCAAATTCTTCGACTGATAATTTGATCTTGTTATTGAACTCTGAATTAGTACCATTAGCAGCATCAGTCGCTGCAGGTGAGCTATGAATCTGATCATCCGCCATCTTCTCTGCAGCTTTTGCTTCTTCAGCTTCTTTAAGTGCAACTTCTAGCTTTTCCTCTGCTTCCTTTGCAGCGATCCTCGCAGTTTCAGCTTCTTGTTTCAGCTCTCCAGCTTGTCTCTTCATCTCCTCCGCTTCCCGCCTTGCATTTTCAGCTTCTGATGATAGAGCAGCTTCAAACTCGGCTTTGCTTCTATCTAGTTCCTCTTGTAGGCTCTGAGCATCTGATTCGATTTTATCTTCTTTCTCCTTCAATTCAGAGTAATCTCTCTTCACATTCTCCAGTTCCAGCTTGAGGGAATCCACCAAACTCCGAATGGAACTCTCTTCTTCTGAAACTTCTTCCAGTGCCTTTTTAGCATCATCAAGCTCTGAAGCCACAGTTTTCAAAGAATCCATATCCGAAGCATGGACATTTTCCAATTGCTCTTGTACAACTTCAATTGCTTCTGTTGTTTCTTCCAGCCTCTCCTCAAGATTCCCCGCGAATTCAAGTTCATATTCTTCCTTCAAAGCTAGGATTTTCTTCTCCACTTCTTCCTTGGCATTTCTGAGAGATTGTAAGTTAGCTTCTTTTTCAGTCATAGCCTTGGTTTGCTCTTCTTGTGCTTGTAGAGAGGTAACCTTTACCTGACCTGCTGTTTCGCGCATTTTTGTAATTTCATTTGTAAGCTCACTTAGCCTCTCTTTGTTCACTATGGTGTCATGTTGCGCATCTGCAGCCTTTTGGAATGCATTTAGTTTCACTTCCAAGGATGCATCAAAGTCCTGTCGTACGTTGGCGAGCTCTTGTTTTGCAGCACTGAGTTCCGCAGTAGAGGCCTTGTATTGCTCTCTTTCACTGTCAACATCTTGTTTCCGAGCACCATCAACTAGTTCGGCTTGGCTGGACCCTTCCTCGAGTGCTTTAGCCCGATTCTTTGCAGCTTCAGTGGCTGCAATGGCGGCCAGCTTGGATTTACTAATGGTTTCGATCTTGTTTGTCAATTCTTGCAGCGTTCTCTTGGCCATTTCAAGTTCCTGGAGTGCCTCTGATTTAGTAGTTTCCGCATTTTTCAGCTGCTCTTTACACTTACCAAGTTCTTTAAGGGTCAAGTGTAGCTGTGATTCCTTCTCAAGAACTCTCTGCAGCATAACAACAACACGAGCAAATAAAATCTTTAATTGAAAGCTTCATTAATAAATGTCCATTCTTTTGATTGACTACAATAGTATCTACAAACTATACTTAGGTTGAAAGACAATAAAATGTCTCTACAAACTTCCTGAATCCTGCACCCCTCTTTCTCCAACACATGAGAGGGCTTAGCCCAATGCATGAGGCTTCCGTTATTACGAGATCTGAAGAGGGTTAGATATACGCAGTCTTACCCTCTTCTGCATGCACGAACGAAAATGTAGGAGAGTATTCGGCATAATTGCACAATTGAAAGCAGTGAATTAGAACTACTACTACAGGTGTGCTTCACAATATGGTCCTCCTCTAATTTTAGCAATCACACAGTAAATAACTTGGCATTTAACATACCTCTTCAGCAGTTTTCGGCTTCTTAACCATAGGTGTGGAGGCCTTAGGGGAAGCTACACCAAATAAACTAACAGCAGCCTTGACTGATTGAAATGGTGCTCTGGTATCGATCTCTCCCACGTGATCTGTTTTAGGAGTTCCCGGGGCTCCTGGAGAATCAACGGCTCTAGGAGAATCTGTGCCATTTTGGCGAGTTTTTATTCGAAAGCCAAACATTATTTTCTCCAATACACCTGCAAGATCATTATAAAATGACTCAATAACAAATTGAATTATTATTATTTTTTATTTTCACTACAATAAATAAGAAATTCAGCATTGCCCGAAAATATGATCACAAGAAGAAGGAATGAAAAAATGGCTATGTTTTCTGTTGATAAAGGGTTGTTACCATTTGATGCACATTTCAAGCAAAAATGGTACATGAGAAAATTTCGAACTTTGTGAAAGAAATGATTCTTTCTAGATGTCACAAGATCAATAATTAATCTATATAACACATAATTCTAAGAAAATCATCATAAAGCCATTCAATTTTCAGGGGCACTAGATCGTGACAGACTTTTGTTTGGTTTTTAGGAATGTTCCTTGTCTATTGATTTGGAAAAAAATGGAAATCTAACATTAAATGAAATGAGACAAATCATAAACATATCTAACATATAAAAGTAAAAAAGTATAAGCAATGTACCTCAATGGATGAATTATTTCTTCGTAAATGGAGGGTGAAAGATTCTATTATGTTATGTCTATACGTAGAGAACGAAAAAACAAAGAAAAGAAAAGGAATAAACTAGGGTTGATTTTTTATTTTTTATTTTTTAAAGCTATCAAGAAAGATCAAAGTGGTAGAGAATCAAGCAAATAATTAGCTATCAATTTGGGGAAATATATATATAAAGAGAGGTACTGAAAAGGGTTTGCTAGCTATATCCAATTATAAATTTAAATGATTTTGCTGCACTTAGTTACTTTATATGATGTATAATGTGATGGAATGCAGCAAATTCTTTAATGGATATAGTAAATTCTAGATTTATTTTATTTTTCTTGTGAAAGTAACCAGAAAATCAGAGATGATGATCATAGAGACATTTTCGGAAGCTTAAAAACCAAAAAAATGGGGATGGAGAAATGTGATCCAAAAAGGCCAAGTTGGCCTTTCACAACCATCCACGTGTAGGCAATGGAAAGGATTTAAGAAAACGATTTGTTTTTTAAAGCGTGTTTTTGCTGTAGACAGTTAGTTGTTGACCTCCATTAACACGTGTCCAACTTATGCTATGCTAAACAATGCTCTACCAGTTTTTTAGGAGAAAATTTTAATTGCGCGAGTTATATTAGTAATGCGATATCACCAAGTGAAGTGATGTGGTATCATCAATTGAATGGATACTGATACATAGTGATATGACATTATATAATTGGTTGATGGAAAAAAGTATTAAAGGTGTATGAAAGTTTTTTCATTTTTAAGGCCAAATTACACATTTTGACCTCCTCCGAATTTTAACAAGTGTGCTGAACAATATCCCTAACGTTTTCTTTCTATCAACCAAAATTTAATAAAATAAAAATTCTGGCATTGTCTTGAATAAAAAGACAATAAAGTAAATTATAAATTACACTTACCTCGTATTAGGTTCGTATAAATTACGCACAGGTTACGAGGTAACGCGAATTTTCAACTTATTATATATTTGTAATATAATATAAAACGCATTACTAACTTTTTACGCTTACCTTTTGACAATTGGCAAACGGATTTAGGGGAGGTTAAATTCATAAACGCTGAAGCCCAAACTTTTGGAACGTTAGTGTAATTTACCCAAAAAGTAATGCTACTGTACACACAAATTTAGTAGTCTGCAAATAAAGAACAAAATAGGGAGCAAATAAAATTTTATTAATTTGTAAAAATTGAGTACAATCCTTTGATATATATTCTTTACAAAAGAAATAAAATATCCTCTAATTCGATCTCCTTTGTTTGTTAGATTTAAGGGTTGTTGGAGCTTGATCTTGAATTGGGCTGTTGATAATCTTCTTCAAGTATTTGTAGTTGAAGAAGATCGTCGATAATTTTTGATCGAGGGCTGACGAAGCTTGATCTCGAACAGTTTTGTGTGATGGTTCGTTAAACTTGTTAAATCACAGAGAAAGAACGGCACGATTTTGATGTACTTGGTGTTCTTTGTTGAATTTGAGGAAGAACGACACGGTTTCGGATGTGCTTGTTATTCTTCGTCTTCAGAGAGAATTTGTTGAATTTGGTGAAGAACGGCACGACTTTGGATGTGCTTGTTGATCTTCGCCTTCAGAGAGAATTTGTTGAATTTGATGAATAACGACACGGCTTTGGATGTGCTTGTTGTTGATCACCGTGAAATTTTGGTGAAGAACGACACAATTTGATGTGCTTGTTGCTCTTCAACTTCAGGTTTGGATGCTGGGGATGAGTATTGACAGAGTTTCTATATTTCTCTATGAAATTCTAGGATTTCTAGAATTCTCAATTTGTGTACTCTCTGAATTTTTGGACCCCTTCCTCCTTCCTCCAGGCCTCTATTTATAGGCTTCTTGGATTAATAAGATGATAGCACGTGTAAGGACAAAATCATAACTGGGTCGAGCCAGGCTATATTGTGATGATTATTTATAAAATAATTATTCCCAATATATTTTATTAGGAATAATTATTTTTTTATTTAATTATCTGGGTTTGACTAGTTAAATAATTTAAGTGGACTAAGTTTGGGCCAATTAAATAATTTAATTAAACATGAGATCCATATTCAATAGGTCAATTTGTCAAAACAAAAGTTCATAAAATTTTAGTATAAATAGCTATCGCGTCTATTTTTTGGGACTCTAATAAATAGTGTTTAGTAAAATAAAAAATAGTTAACTTGGATTCTCTATTTTCTATGACTTGTAGTTGGGTTTTGTAGTGTTGCTCTTTGTAAAATAGGAAAAAAGGGAAAGAAAAAAAAGAAAAAAGAAAAAAGAAAAAGGGAGAGGATAACATTGATAGGAAATAATTACGTACTATTTTGGGAATTATTTCTAATTTTCCTAGAAAATTTTACAAAAGTCACAAAACTAATTTCTTTATTTGAAAATTGTTTCATGTCAAAATCAACAAACAGAGCTTAAACTGAAGTGGTTCTCATGCAACTCCATTAAACAACCACACCACACCCTCTCTCTGTCTCTCTCTCACACACACGGGGAGAGATGGGAAAAGATAGTTATTTTCCACTCTTTGAAACAAAGGCAGCAAAGGGACGCATCTTTCATCGACTGTATGTAGTACCAGTATGTATAAGCATATGTTTGATATGTTTCTATAGAGCCACTCGTTTACCAACACAAGGAGAAGTAGAAAGATGGACTTGGATTGGTATGTTCGTGGCCGAGCTCTGGTTCATTCTCTACTGGTTCATCACTCAATCCATCCGATGGAGTCCCGTCTACCGTCACACCTTCAAAGACCGGCTCTCCCAAAGGTCTCTCTCCTCAATCTCCCCTCTCTCTATATGTATATACACACGTATATGTATATTTATGTTCGTAAAGGGGAATGAAAATATTATGACCTGTTTGGTTTGTCAAAACTTAAAAAACATAAATTTTTTGACAGTTCTATGTATATTTATTTTAATCTGAATCGACCAAGCATATTTTATACAATTTTTTGATTTTTAGTTTTCAAAAAATAAAAAATTGTTCGTTGACCTTAAGTTATTGAGAAAAAGGTTTGATTGTTGTTGTTGTATATTTATGTGCGTGTTTTGCTTATATTATATTTATGTATGTGTTGTAAATTGCAACAGATACGAGAAGGTTTTGCCCGGGGTGGACATATTTGTGTGCACTGCTGATCCTATAATAGAGCCACCAATAATGGTGATCAACACTGTCCTCTCCATGGCGGCTTATGACTACCCACCGGAAAAGTTGAGCGTCTATCTTTCCGACGATGGCGGCTCCGAGTTGACGTTCTATGCTCTTTTAGAGGCTTCTCGCTTCTTGAAACACTGGCTGCCATATTGCAGGAAATTCAAAATAGAACCGCCGGCACCGGCAGCTTATTTTTCCACCGTTGGTAAACCACGAGATGGTAGTTCCATGGTAGAAGAATGGTCCTCCATCAAGGTACGAAAACTAAATTTATTTTATGGTCCTCTTACTAGAATTATTAGATGGTCTTCAAAAATTACTAAAAATCTATTGTTTTTGAATTATGTTATAAAAAGCTCATATCGTAATATTTTGTACACAACATGAGAAGTTAAAAAAGAATTTACAATCACAATAATTATGTTGATATGGTCTAATTCCATTCTATGTTTACAATCATATGCGTCTACAGTCACATGACTGCAACTCTACTTGTGTTTTGAATAAAATACTCATGAAAAAATTAATAAAGAGAAAGCAAATCACCACCACCACCACCTTCCAGTTAGTTCGCTGGTAAGTTATGGTTTATATAATTTATTGAGTTGTGTGGACCGACTCTTTACGAAATTGCATGGCACGTACCATTTTGAAGACAAAAATAAATTTTAAATTAATACAAAAGGCGTAGTTATGGACGTGACAAGTACATTTGATGTCAATCACGGAGAGATGATTTTATTTATATGAAAGCGATTTTTTTTTTCTCCTTGAAATTTATATATATATATATTCTTTTAAATCCAAGCTTGTTTTATTATCCTCTCATTTATCATCCTAGTATATCCAATTTAGCAGTGTCCAGATTCCAAATCCCACTGGGTCCCTTTATAGAGAAAAAACATACCACTATGCAAGTTTGTGTGCACAAATTGTTCACTGCCTGACTTAGCTTGATGGACCAACAGCAACTGATGAAATTTGTCCTTATTCTACAAAAATGTTATGGACCATAACAATTTACGTAAAAAAAAATTAAAAAAAAAAATAAATTATACTGAACTAGTAGCAGGGTTTGCAGGATAAGTAATACAGTAATAATAATAGTGGTGGTGAAGAGAAGAGTATTTCTTGTACAATTGTATTATTTAGGGGTGGGTGTGTATTTGTGTGTGTGTGTGTATATATATATATATGTGTGTGTGTGTATAATTAATATATAACATTTTGTTTTCTACTACTTTATAGAAATTGTATGAAGAGATGAAGAAACGGATCGAGGATGCTACAAAGCTAGGCCGAATTGCAGATGAATTTCGGAAAGAGCACAAAGGATTTAATGAGTGGGACTTGCCTATAACCAAACGGGATCATCACACCATTCTTCAAGTACTGTTTACTTTATTTATTTCATTATGATTAATTACTAATTTTATAAAAATTAAAAATCAAATTTCCACCTTCTCAAAATTCTTGTATATTTTTTATTTTGAGATAGTTTCAAAATATACATTTCATTTCAAAAATAGATATACTATTTTTTATAATATTTCTAAACTATCATTTTTTACTAAATAAGTACACTAGAGGTTTTCCCTCTATAAAAAAAAAATATCCCTTTTTTCAAAAAAGTTTTTTTTGGGAGAAAGTATTATATTATCTTTTAATAAGAATATTTTTAAAAATTCACTCTTATCAATACAATAAAAAAATATTAAAAACCCACTAATATACAAAGTTGGATTCCTATTTTTGGATTGCTCTTCATATATATATATATATATATATATATATATATATATATATATATATATACACACACAAACATGGGCGGAGGCAGCATGTGCCCAGGGGCAGCTCCCCCCCTGCCCATGCTGCCCCTTTATAATTTTTTTTTATTTTTTTATACATAAATTTAAAAAAATTGACATAATGCCCCCCTAAAATTAATAAAATGGCCCCTCTACCCCTGAATTCACTAAAATTTATTTTATTTTATGCATATAATTTGTAAATATTTATAAAAACACCCTCATAAGATTTATAAATTATCCCTATAAAATTATCTATTTTTAAAAGTGTCTTTAATTCTTTATTCCTTTTTCTTCTTATACTTCAAATTTCTTTTGTCATCTTTAAAACTTTTGCATTATTTTTCTACAATTAAAACCTATTTTTTCCTTCAAAATTCTCTCATATTTTTTTCTTTTTATTTCATTTTCTTAAAAATTTCTCATTTCTTGCACTTAAACATAATTTATGTGCAATAACATTCTTTTTCTTTTTTCTATTCTTATTCATTTTTTATTCATGATTTTAATGCAATGTTGTTACACTTATTTTTTCAACGTACTTGAAAAAAATTATTTTATCAGTGTTAATATGCCCCCCTGAACCAAATTCCTGACTCCGCCCTGTATATACATACATTATGGTTCATCCCCTCAAAACAATATTATTAATAATAAATAAATATTAAAACCAGAATCCCTGCTTAATTATTTACAACCATGTTTTATATTATGGGTATTTCTGTCAATCCCAAAGATATTAATTGATGGAAGAGACTCCAAAGCTGTGGACATTGAAGGACAACCTTTGCCGACATTGGCATACTTGGCACGTGAGAAAAGACCTCAATACCACCACAACTTCAAAGCAGGAGCCATGAATGCCCTGGTAAGCTAATACAGTAGTCCACAATTGGTTATTACGGAGTACTCCTCTGGCTCAAAAAAAAAAAAAAAAAAAAAAAAAGAAAAAAGAAAAGAAAAGAAAAAAAGAAAGAAATGTCATGCTTTTCTTTTTTATTTGTCTATGGTTGTCACTTTCTTTTTTCAAATAATATATTTTACATCTTTTCATATATGTTTTTTAAATTTAAAATTTTAACTTGAATATTTAAAACTTAAAAGGGCAAATTAGTAACTTTTTAAGGAAATAAGACATGCCTCACATGTCCCCTTAAAAATTCCTACTTCCTAAAAATGACATCTTAATTGAGAAAGAGGGAGTAATACATTAAAATGATAAATAGTATGGGAGTCCTATATATTTGATTTATTTATTTATTTTATTATGTAAGCCATTTCATATATATTTGATTTATTTATTTATTTTGTTAAGGCATCTCTCACTAATATAAATATAGTTGGATGCGTCCAACTTTCAAACTCTTTGTCCATCTCTTAATACACATACCTACATGAATTTATCTATTTTCATAACTTATTCATGCATATATAAAAACATGCCATTTAGTTGTACATAATACATATACTACGTATTTCATAAACTCAACGTTAGTAACAAATTGTGTATCATTAGTAGTCATTTTTTTTAAAAAATTTTCTTTTTCCCATAATGATGATTGTCATTGTTGTTATAATTCAATGAATAGATAAGGGTGTCATCAAGGATAAGCAATGCTCCGATTATCCTTAATGTGGACTGCGACATGTATTCTAACAATTTGGAATCAGTGAGAGAAGCATTGTGTTTTTTCATGGATGAAGAGAAAGGTCACCAGATTGCTTATGTTCAGTTTCCACAAGTGTTTGATAACCTCACAAAGAATGATATTTATGGTAGTTCCTTGAGGATAATCATTGAGGTAATTAATTAATTAAGCATTAACAAGAGCTCTAGTTTCATAATACTCAAACCTCAAAGTTTTGAAGTTTTTATTCATAAATGGTAAGAGGATTTTACAAGTTTCCTACACTGAGAAACTTGTGGTTGAAGCTGGAGATTGCAGGTTTGGATGCTAATGGAGGGCCTTTTTATATCGGTAGCGGTTGCTTTCACCGGAGAGATAGTCTGTCCGGGAAGAAGTACGACAAGGAATGTAAAGCAGAGTGGAAAACACAAATTGATCATACAAAGGTTGAACAAAGTGCAGATGTGCTCGAAGAGACATCCAAAGTTCTTGCAAGTTGTACCTATGAACAGAACACTCTATGGGGAAACGAGGTCTCTCTTTCTCTCTCTCTCTCTCTTCCTCTCAAACTCGGATCTCTCCTGTACACTGAGAGGGTGGAGATCACTCCTGGGGTACACATCCATCACCCCGATCTCCATTTTTCTCACGTGTACAGAACTGCCCAGTGTGCATAGAACGGGATCCAGGTTCTTTTTCTTATCTCTCTCTCTCTCTCACACACACACATATTGAGATCATAAATGTTGATATGCAGATGGGATTGATGTATGGATGTCCAGTAGAAGATGTAATTACAGGATTGGTAATAAAATGTAGAGGCTGGAAACCTGTCTATTTTAATCCAAGAAGGGATGGTTTTTTAGGACTTGCACCAGTAACACTATTGCAGTCACTAATTCAACATAAGAGATGGTCAGAAGGTGATTTTCAGATTTTTCTCTCCAAACACTGCCCGTTTGTGTATGGATATAGAAGGATCCCTCTAATACTTCAAATTTCGTACTGTTGCTACATGGGTTGGGCTCCAAATTGCTTGGCTACACTATACTACGTTGCCGTCCCTCCTCTTTGTACCCTTAGAGGCATCTCCTTGTTCCCAAAGGTATGGACCTTAAACTTTTAGAACAGATACTTAAAGATTTTAAATACTTAACCTACTTTCGTCAAATGATCATCTAATAATTCTATAAATTGTTCCGGTTTTTAAGACTTTAATCTTGTTGTGCCACAGTTATCAAGCCACTGGGCTCTTCCGTTTGCATGTGCTATCGTTGCAAAATACATATATAGCTATGCAGAGTTCCTCTGGTGTGGAGGTGGATCTCAAGAATGGTGGAATGATCAGAGGATGTGGTTGTTCAAAAGATTAACTTCCTACTTGTTCGGCTTCTCGGAATCAATCTTGAAGGTGTTAGGCTTCACCAGCTCTGGTTTTGTGGTCACCGCGAAGGTGGCTGACGAGGAAGTGTCCCAGAGATACGAGCAAGAGCTCATGGAGTTCGGTGCCCCTTCCCCAATGTTCACCATTATAGCAACACTGGCACTGGTCAACCTGTTCAGTTTCGTTGGGGTGGTAAAGAATGTCATTTGGGATTTGCAAACTCAGTTTTTAGATCAATTTGCACTACAGATACTGCTATGTGCCCTACTGGTTCTCATCAACCTGCCTGTATTCCAAGGACTCTTCTTCCGAAAAGACAATGGCCGTATGCCGAATTCTGTCGTGTACCAATCAATTATTGTAGCTACACTTGCTCATTTAGTAGCCTTGTATTAGATTTTTATCACTGCAGACCACAGTCTCTACTAAAATTATGTACTTAGATTTGAATATATGGTTTCAAAATATTTCCTACAAAATTAAAAACTATATCTTTGATTATTACTCGTCTTTTGTTTCAAATCAGAATTGACTAAAGAAAGTAGGTACCAACTTGGTGTATTCGTCTGCACTAAGCTCTCAAATAATTGAAGATCAGTATAATAAATCATATAAGAAATAATTAAGCTAAAGATCTAGATGTCAATTATTAAATTTGCCCATGAATTGAAACAGCCAATGATAAGACAAAAGTAATTGCAGAGCTTACGCAAGCTCTTCCACATCAAGACAACATGATACTATACTTGTTGGGGGAGAAATTTATGCAGTCCGATACGACACCATTTTCTTGCAAAGAAGAGAGTAGAATATCGATAAATCTTGACGGCACCGGTGTGGTGTTAGCCAAAAACTTTCCGACAATCAAATCAGTCATCGGAAGTCTAAAAGAAAGGTAGGGATTTAATAATCGTTTTTTTGTCGTACCTTTATTGACCGGTAGGATCTTATTCTTATAGTCGTTCTCCCTCAGTTCATTTGCGGGATCAGAGGAGATCCGCTTGTGTGAGATCAGAGGAAATCCGTTTGTTGCTAGATTTGTCGGGGATATGATTTACCCCTTTGACTTCCTCAAATTGTGCCAAGGTTATCTTTACCCTATTGAACCACGTCATCTTTCATTATCATTGATAATGAAATATTATCATTCTTATCCAATGGAAATATCATTGTTTGAAAGTCGAAGAGATCTAGCGGCTGGTCAACACTTAGTTGCCTCTATCGTTAGGTCAAGATATATTAGGTTTATTTTTCCCTATCAGTTGCCCCCCATTCCTAAGCTTGCTCGTCTAGCTTTGGGAATGTAAAATTTTATTTATTTATTTGCCTTGGCACTGTTCCCTCAGGAAAGTGCCGCGGGTATTGTTCACTTGAATGCCCTTGGCACTGTTCCCTCGGGAATAGTGCCACGGGTACCGTTCACTTGAACAGTACCCTTGGGAACTAATGTTCCCTTAGGTAATCTTCCCTTGGGTGCTATTTCCAATGGTGGAATTAATACAGATACCAAATCAAGGTTCTGTTTTGGAAGGGTATGGATTCAAACCCATGGTCAATGACTCTTAGTGATGTAAAACTGGATTTTTCTTTTGAAAATCCAATATATTGGTTGTAAACTTTATGGGTTTCAGTCAGCCCATCCCTTTGGTAGGGGAATAAATTTTACGAGTTTCACTCAGCTCGTCACTTCTTTAATAAGGGAACGAGCTTCACTCAGCTTGTCCTTTTAGTAAGAGAATTAAATTTTACGAGTTTCACTCAGCTCGTCCCTTTGGTAAGGGAATTAGGTTTTACGAGCTTCACTCAGCTCGTCCCTTTAGTAAGACGGCTTCACTCAGCTCATCCCTTCAGTAAGGGAATTAGGTTTTATGAGCTTCACTCAGCTCGTCCCTTCAGTAAGGAAATTAGGTTTTACGAGTTTCACTCAGCTATTCCCTTTAGTAAGGGAATTAGGTTTTACGAGCTTCACTCAGCTCGTCCTTTTAGTAAGGGAATTATATTTTACGAGTTTCACTCAGCTCGTCCATTTAGTAAGGGAATTAGGTTTTATGAGCTTCACTTAGCTCGTCCCTTTAATAAGGGAATTATGTTTTACGAGCTTCACTCAGCTCGTCTCTTTAGTAAAGGAATTAGGTTTTACGAGCTTCACTCAGCTCGTCCCTTTAGTAAGGGAATTAGGTTTTTTGTTAGCTTTCTGTAAAACATTAATGACCACATAGGTAGGTAACTGAAAACAAAATATTTTATTGCGTAAAAAATGAGGGTCATTCATCTCATTGGTGATAGTGACTTTATTGGAAAACAAAATAACACTTGAGGGAGCTACCCTCCATTTAAAATGATGAACTGAGATGCCCCTAGTCTTTATTTTAAATAACTAGATAAGGCTAATTTCAGCTGTGAAACAATTGTTAGTCGGTATATATATCTGAGTCCTTCTCACGATATGTCCTATCACTTTGGCTAAAGAATGATCTCTTATAGTTGGTACCCTTTTCATCCTTAGCGAGAGGGGCTGACTTCTTCTTGTCCTCTCATTCCTTTTCCTTTCGTGCAGTCATGGCATCTTAAGCGTTTATGTGTTTCTGCGCTCTGATCAATAACTCTGCCATGCTGGTGGGAGGTTCTTTTGACAAGGAGAACAAGAATCTGCAAGTTTGGAGTCCTCCTATGAAAGCGGTCAAAGCCACCTTATCGTCCACCTCTTCTACCTGCAACATCTCTGTGTTAAATCGGGTGATATATTCGGGGATCGACTCTCCCTTCTGTTGCTTCACGGTAAGCAGGTAGGTGGCCGGCCTCCTATGCCTCTGACCTGCAATGAAGTGGCTCACAAATTGCTTACTAAGTTCTTCGAAGGTGTTGATGGTTCCTGGCTTCAGCTTGTTGAACCAAACTCTTGCCGATCCCTTAAGTGTAGCGGGAAAAGCTCGGCACATGATTTCATCTAGCACGGCGTGTAAATGCATAAGAGCTTGAAAGGTCCCAGGTGATCGAAGGGATCTTTGGTCCCATCGAAGCTTTCGAACGAGGGCATCCTAAACATGCTAGGCAGGGGGCATTTCATAATAGCGGGGCTGAACGGCAAGTTGGTCCTCTGCACTGGGTCATCTATGGCGGCATGACCTTTCCCTTTCATAGCCCGCATTACATCTTCCATTTTCACCTTGAGATCCTCGATCTGTAGGTCGAAACATGTAACTTTCTCTGTCTTTTCCTTAACACAGAAGGTTGTGCTTGTTTGAGGCTGGGGATTTCGCGGAGGCGGGGAAGGAGGTTTTCTGTGTCGGTTTCCGACTTGGCTTTGTTTTGTCTCGAACTTATGAGGAGAATCGTTTTCTCGGTCCTCCTCGTGTTCTCCCCCATCATTCAGATTGGGAGGATATGGGTCGGACAATTCCTGTTAAGGTGATGGTCCCACTGGGATAAGATGTTGCAGGATCTCTGCATTTTGCTGGATCAACTGGTCCATACCCTGATTCAGAGTTTGGACCTGTAGTTCTAACGCTGTAAGCCTTTCCTAGTCATTCGGGACGTCTGGGTGTTCACCCGACCCTTCTCTTTGACTGGATCCCTGCAACGATGTTTCCTTTCCAGTTACCATACCAGACCGCAAGTGCATATACCCAACCGAGTAATTTATTGATTTAAAGGAATTGTCGTTTCCTACAGGCGGCACTAACTGTTGGGGGAGAAATCAACGCGATCCGATATGACACCGTTTTCCTGCAAAGAAGAGAGTAGAAGATCGATGAATCTTGACGGCACCGGTGTGGTGCCTACCAAGAGCTCTTCGATGATCAAGTCAGTCACCGGAGGTCTAAAAGAAAGACAGGGATTTAATAATCATTTTTTGTCGTACCTTTATTGACTGGTAGGATCTTATTCTTATAGTCGCTCTCCTTCAGTTCATTTGTGGGATCAGAAGAGATCTGCTTGTGCGAGATCAAAGGAGATCCGTTTGTTGCCAGATTTGTCGGGGATATGATTTACCCCTTTGACTTTCTCAAATTGTACCAAGGTTATCCTTACCCTATTGAATCACGTCATCTTTCATTATCCTTGATAATGAAATATTATCATTCTTATCCAATAAAAATATTATCGTTCGAAAGTCGAAGAAGTCTGGTGACTGGTCAACACTTAATTGCCTCTATCGTTAGGTCAGGGTAGGTTAGGTTTATTTTTCCCTATCAATACTTATTGAAATATGTATTAGGGATAATTCCATAAAAATCGAGTTTTGGGGGTCAAAGGACAAAAAAATTGAGTCAAAATTAAGTTTTCCAAATTAATGAAATTTTATAAAAGTCTGACGTGGTCATGAAAATTTATTATATATCATCTTTTTATTCCCAAAACACACTTCTCTCATATCTAGAGAGAGAAACCCATCTATGACAACCCTTCTTCCCAAACGAACAACCAATAATCCTATCTGCCATCTGTCTCTTTCACCCACCTTACCAGCAAACCCATTTAAACAAAAAAAAAAAAAAAAAATTGTAAATTTTTGTTATCTCTCTCACGTTCCCTCCAAAACATCTTTTCCTCCAAACCTGATTTAAACCCAAAATCCGTATCATACAAAAGAAAAATCAAGATCCAAGCTGACATTCAAAAACCCAACACGAAACATCATGAAAAAACCAACACAATCATCTGTAATGGTCGATCCACGGCTCGGCAATACAAAAGGTTGATGCAAATGCTTGTGGATCCATAAGAAATCTTCAAGTGGGTCTGTTAAATCCAAGTCGCACCATAAAAATTGGAATATTCGCAAATGAGAACTAGACCTTTCTCCATTTTCCTGGAAGGTTTACAGTATCAAAGTAGCAAATATCTAACTTTTTTTTTAAAAAAAATAATAATAACAAATATCTTTTAATTTCTCGGATTTGGTTGGACTTGGCGACGTCGGTGATTTTGACATTGAGTTTCGGGAGTGTAAGGAAGGAGGAACTGCCCGAGAAGGAAAGTTTGAGAGGATTGACATAGATGTGTTTCTTTATCTAGATATGAGAGGGGTAGCAGTATAATTTCATAACAACTATAAAAAGGTATTTTGGGAATAAAAAGATGATGTATAGTAATTTTTCATGTCCACGTCAGACTTTTATAAAATTTCATTAATTTGGAAATTTGATTTTGACTTTATTCTTTTGTCCTTTGACCCCCAAAACTCTATTTTTATAGAATTATCCCTATATTATATATATGCATTATATTTTGTTTTCTTTTCTCTTCTTTCCTCCTTGAATTACTTTACTTATAAATATAACTTTTACATGTTTAATGTCTTGATTGTTGATATAAACTTTACTTTTTTATTAATAGGTTCTCCAATCCTTTTTTGTCTTTGGTTCTAAGGACGTATATTCAGATGTTTTTTTTTTTTTTGTAAAAAAAAACCATTTCTTTTACATTTTCAAATCACAACGCATTCCATGGAAATTTGCTTCCATTACCAGTTCGTAGAACACAGGTTGCCTTGTCAG